CCGCGAGGTTTTAAAGCACGGGGCCCTGCGGCCCGCAGCAAGTGGGGCGCTCGCCGCATGCGTTTCGGGGATGGCCCGTTCCCTTCCCCCATGGTAAGTCGAGCGCGGACCCAAGAGGGGGCCGAGGGACCCAGGGGTCTGCGCGTGGCAGCGGCGACAACTTTTCCGCGCTGGAATCGCGGGTCGGAGTAGGGGTGCGCCTGGGGGGGGGACTCCAACTCTTGGCAACGAGGGTGGTGTGACGGGGACTTGGGGGGAAGCCGGGAAGGGGCTTGGGGGGTGGTGGCCACAGAGTCTTGGGGCGCTCCCTACGGATGACGGAAGGGCGGCCCGGCTCTGAACCGTCTCCCTCAGGCCGGCCCCAGGAGACCTATTGGGACTTGCTGGGGAGCACAGAGAGAGAGGGTCCCTGCCTGCCTTGCAGTTGGGCTTGGGTTTGGCTGGCTATGCGCAGGGTTCCCATGGGGCCCCCGTCTGGGCTTTGGCCTGAAAGCTGTGAGAAGGGACTCCAGGAGTTCTCTGGATGAGAGGGAAGTGGTGTCACTTGCAAGTATTTGACAAGTTGGGGTGAGTGGAGGGACGGCTTCCTGGGGACGGGGTCTGGTGGGCCCTGATGCGCCTGGGGTTCGGGTGTCTGGCCTCCTGGATGCGCCTGGCTCCCTCAAGGAGCAGCTCATGCAATGCTGGTGGGCAGGGGCCAGGTTTGGGAGTCTCCTGGAGGGCTGACTCCCCAGCCCTGTCAGCTCTGGGACCCCATGCCCTTGCACTACAGGAGGTGGGTGAAGTGACCTGGCTGAACCTGGACTTCTCTGTGCCTGCCCAAAGGGACCTCTGGTTCCAGCTTTGCTTGGCTGTCCCCAAGCCCCAGTCCTGACCTTCCAGCCCAGCTCTGTTGGGGCCCAGGCCCAGGGCCTCCTGAATGCCTGGGAGGTGCCCTTGGCTGGCTGTCCCCTGTCCCCTTCCCAGCCCCCACCAGCTGCCTGCTGGTGACGGTGGTCTCGTGTCCTTGGCAGTCTTGTCTGGGCCAGCCCGAGCTGGAAGGCAGTGCCCAACAGGTGCCCCGCTCAGGGGCGAGGTGTGTGGGACACGCCCTGTCCGCTCCCCCACACGCCCTGCCCGGCCAGCATGGGCACATGTGTTCCTGTGCCGCCGTCCTGGGAAGGCTCAGGCCCCGAGGCCTGGTGCCAGCTTGTTCTGACGTCCAGGAGGGCACTCATTGCCTCCTGTGCTTGTAGGGTGCCCTCTGGGAGCTCCCTCAAGACCCCAGATGGCAACAGGCTTTGCCCATGGTTCTAGAGGGGCTCTAAAATAGCTGCTGGCTGGGCCCGGGGCTGGCACGCAGAGTCCATGCGTGACAGGGCGTGTCTGGGGGTCGGGCCTGTCTGTGCTGGCCCAGCCTCTTGTGTCTCTGAGGATTCCTGCTTTCAGGGGAGAGAGCAGAGATGGATGTTCAGGGGTTCACCCAGGGACCCCACAAATATGCCCACACCCTGCCTGATTGCAAGTGGGCCCAGATGTTGCGTGTGGGCTGCAGCTGTGGGATACGCACTGTGCATCTGTGTTCCTGGGGTGACAGTCTCTGTGCAGACCTTGAGGTAACTTGACTGCTCCCTGAGGTCCATGTGGAGCTTATCCATCTTCAGGAACTTTTCAAAGTCTGCCCTAAACCTTGGGTGGGGCTCTGTCCACAGTGAATGACACTGCTGGGAACCTTGGGTGGTCTTAGGAAAACTTCCTCCAACCCTCTTTTCAGGACTTTGTTATTTTTATTTTATTTTTTGGAAGTGGAGTTTGAGACAGGGTTCACCTGTAGTCTGTGCTGGCCTAGAACACACTATGTAGCCCAGGCTGGCCTCGAACTCCTGGCGATCCTCCTGCCTCAGCCTCCAGAGTGCTGAGATTATAGATGTGTGCCACCAGACCTGGCTGTACTTGGGTTATTCTTTATGCCAGGAACAGGCTGGCCGTGTGTGTGTGTGAGAGAGACCTACTGTGGGACCTCAGTCCGGCTGGGAATCGCCCTGGTCTCCGTTTTATGCATCTGGAACTGGGGAGAGTTTGGATGTGAGAGGAGAGCATCGTGCCTCGCATCTCTCCCGCCTAGGCCCTGGGCTCCAGACTTTTTGGGGCACTCTGGTTCCTTTCAACCTTGCCGTCTGGTGTCCTGCCTGGGCCGCTCACCTGGAGATGTATGCAGGGGTTGCGGGTGTGGGTGTGTGGGAATTCTGGGGTAGAGCAGGATGCGCCATGCTGGGCACAGCTGAGTCATACTTCAGTGGCGCCTTGCCCCAGGGTGCTGGGGCTGGCGCCACCCTGGGTGTGGTCACTGTGCTGTGGCCCGGGGCTGGGTGGTCCGGGATGTGGTGAGGTGGTGAGGGGCAGTAAAGCAGCTTCTGAGATGCCAATTCTCGACGTCCATGACTGTGGGCAGATACCTCCATAATGCCATGGGTAGTCCAGGTACATTGATCCATGGGTCTGGGAAATCCTGGGGTGTCAGGAAAAGAGGACAGAGCCCATTAGAAACCAGATACAGCTGGACATGGTGGTGCTCATCTGTCAGCCTACCACTCTGGGAGGCTGAGGCAGGAGGATCACAAGTTTGAGCTCAGCCTGGGCAATTTAACGAGACCTTGTCGCAAGATAAAAAATGGCTGGCGATGGAGCTCAGGGTGAAGGCCCTGGGTTCAACCCCTAGTCTCTCTCTCTCTCTCTCTCTCTCTCTCTCTCTCTCTCTCTCTCTCTCAAAAAAAGGCCATTTACTGCCTTGTAAGCTTGTAGCCCCCAAACTCCAGGCTAGGGTTTAGAAATGGAATTCAGTGGCAGCAGAGGTGGGTACACGATGGTGGGAAGGGCTTCTTGGGTGGATATGGGGGTGCCCCTCAGGGCTCTGATTGGCTGGGCCACGCCTTTGATCTGCCGTATTTATAACAGATGGTTCAGGGCACTCTTACCCATCCTGAGCCTGCCCCCAGTGCAGCCGTGGCTGGGCCGTGGGGCTCCCCCACTTGCAAGGGTGCCAACCCGAGGGTCTGCCCAGCCTCCCGGGGACGGTCGTTATTGTTTCTGCCCGGGGAGCTGGGGTGGAGGGTGGGGGATTGGCGGTCAGGCGCGCTGGGCCGGGAAGCCCCGGTTGGCGGCTGGCTTGGGGCCCGGCCCACCGAGCTTCTGTGAAGAGTCTGGCCCATTAGGCAAAGCGCTAGTGACAGGCTGGGCGGCGGCGGGCAGGGCGGGGCGCGCAGTCCTTGGTATTTTCCGATCCCAGCTGCTCAGTGAGGGTGGAAAGTATTTGGGGATCAGGCCTGGAGGCGGCAGCGGCGGAGTCCCGGCGGAAGCCGTCCCTGATGCATTCCTGGGGCACCAGGGCCTGCGCTTGTCTGGTGCGTAGCCGTAGCCGCTGTCTGCATTCTGGTGCGCACTGGTGTCCCCATCCCGTCTGGAGACCACTCTGCGCCTGGCACAGAGCCCCTCTCCTCCATCCCTGCAACTGCCAGGAGCTTGCCTCTCTCGGGACACCCGAGGGGGAGCTGGGATTGGTAAAGGGGACCCAGCCCTGGGGCACCTGTGTGGCCGTAGCCTCTCCACGAGGGACCAGACCTTTTGTGCCTGTGGGGATGGGGAGTGGCCTTGGCCCAGCCTGGGCTCTGTGCAGGGGAAACCCCACAGGAAACAGGCCTGGCCAAATGGCCGCCCTTCCCGCTCTTGTCCCGGGACACGAATATGCTGTCTCACTTCCGGAGGCGGCTCAGGGAGGCTGGCTGCCCTGCGGGGCCGGGGCTGCTCCCAGTTGGCACCCCCAGACCCTGAGGGGACAGGGCTGGGGCCCCGTGGGAAAGGCTGTGGTCTGTGTGCGTGTTTTGGGGGTAGATGGGGCACAGGACATCTCTTACTCCCTGCTTTCCATGGTGGTGACCCCAGATCTGGACATAAAGGCCCTGCCTGCGTGGGATCCTTGTTTCCATCTTCTGGCCTCTTTGTGTTGGGTGGCGATGAAAGGATCGCAGTTTTCTGATGACACACATTACTCACAGGATCCTAACTACCAACCACTTTTGAAGTAGAAAACTGGTGTCCCTGTTTTGTGGGGTACACAGAGAGAGGCTGAGTGACTTGCCTGGAGCTGCCCAGCTAGGAACCTGGGCGTTGGTTTCAAATTCAGGTAAACTGGCTCTAAAACTATGCTTTTCTAGCCACAGACCATGGCGAGTCCGGCGTTGGCAAACTCCTCCTAGGAAAGACCTGATCTTGGTTAAGTGTTTTGCTGCAAATGTTGTGAAGTCCTGTCATTTTTTATTTTTTGGTGGTAGTGGTTCTGGGTATGGAATCCAGGGCCTCGAGCATTCTAAGCACACGCTTTAGTGCTGGGCTGCACCCCAGCCCCTTGAAATTCTTTATTTATAGCCAGGAGTGGTGGTACACACCTATAATCCTAGCACTCAGGAGGCTGAGGCAGGAGGATCACTGTAGAGTTTCAGGCCAGCCTTGGAAACATTGTGAGTTCAAGGCCTGGACTACACAGCGAGACCCTATCTCAAAAAAGAAAAAGAAATTCTGAATCTGCACATCTTTGTTCTTCACTGGGCCTCACAAATTTAGTGGCCCCATACCTAGCTGACTGAGTGACAGACATTTTGGTGAAAGCTCATACATAGCTCTTGGCTCTGTTTCACAGATGGGGAATTGAGACTTCCAGGGCATCTAGGAAACTGCATTTGGGACTTGAACTCGGGTTTGGTGTTTGAGTGAGGAGGCTGGCAACCAGCCTGGGTCCTGTGCTGAGGAGAAGTGGCTGCCTGAGGTGGAGGGGTGCTCTGTGTCTGTACCCACCCCCAAGGGTGTGGGCTGAGGAGCCGAGGCCGCAGGGGGAGGCCGGGCTGTTTCCTCCTGCTCTTCAGGCTTCTAGGAAGTGGCGCCAGATGGGGTGAGGTCACTTCCTCACCCACCTGCCCGCCCCCCTCGGCTTCCTCTCTCCTCATGTGGCCCCATTTGGCGGCCCAGGCATGGGGTGGGAGGCCTAGGGAGTAGCACCCAGGCTGGGACTGCCCCGGAGCTCCTGCAGCCGCCTGGCCTAGAAGGACGCCCTAGGCATGTGTCTCCACTTTGGGCTGGATCCGAGATTGCTGCCAGGGGCCAGGAATTCAGGGGGGACCCTGAGAGGGAGAGGGCAGTATCCCCAAATCACATCACCTCATTTGCTCTCTCTCTCCCCTTCAGGTGCCAGCCTCTGGCCCTGCTCAGTGCCCTCCCGCCCTTTGCCATGGCCGGCTGGGGTTCCTGGGGATGGGATTTGCTCTCTCACAAATCACATTGCCAGGGATTTCCAACCGACCCTGAGCTCTGCCTCCGGGGCCACCACTGCCAGAGGACACCTGTCTACGCCTGGGGACGCCTGGGGACAGGGTGGCAGAGAGGGCCTGCCATCGCCACCGCCACCATCACCGCCGTTGCCATCGCCAGGCCTGAGGAGCAGGGCTTAGCTGCTTGTGAGCAGAGTCCGCACCAAGTCGTGTTCACAGTGGCTAAGTTCCGTCCCCTGGGCCCTGCCTCCACCGCCCCCACCTCTGCTGGCTGCCGGGTTCCCCGGACTCTGCCTCCTGTGCCTACTGAGCTGAAACACAGTTGATTTGTACAGACTGGCTCAGTTCAGCAGGAACAGGGGTCAAGTCCCCTGGAGCCAGGCAGCCTGGCTGTTCTGACACGGGCCGGACAGATGCAGATGTGTCTGAAGAGGGGAACGTGGGAGGGCAGGGTGAGTGGGCTGGCCTGGGTCTAGGCATCTGCTGCAGGCCGCCTCTCTTGGTCTGCACACAGGGACCCGGTTGTCCCAACATGGCTACACCTTGCACAGGCTGAGCTGTGGTTCCAGGTTAGAGAGCCAAGAGGGTGGGTGGTCCTCACTTAAGAAAAGCCAGCTGTGCTTCTCCGAGCCCAGGGCTTCTCTGTGTAATCTAGCCTGGCCTTGAGCTCACTATGTAGCTAGGCAATCCTCCTGCCTCAGCTTCCTGAGTGCTGGGATGATGGGTGGGCACCACCACGCCTGGCCCTGCCCCTCCTCTCCTAAGCCCGGTGGGGGTGCTGTACCTTCCCACCAGCCGCCTGTTACCCAAGAGGAAGCTGCCTTAGGCCCCCTAACCGTTAAGTGCCACCTCCCAGCTTCCGGAACCAGCTGGCCTGACTTGGTCAAGTGTGCCTGGTCCCCTCTCCTTGGACCCTGAGGCTTCTTAATGATACCCACTCCATTTGGGGCAGGGAATAGGCCCATGCGGGCCCAGAAGGGACATGAGCGGGCCTGCCCCATCTAGGGCTGATGTTAGCCTGTCCCACTCTCCTTGGTGGTCCTGGGCTTGGAAGAGATGAATTGTGCCACTGTCCCCAAGTCAGATGGGAGGAAGTCTCTTTGGGCCTGGGGGGAAGGTCGACCGGAATGCCCAGGCTGTCAGGGCTGGCCTGGTGTCACCCAGGTAGGGACATTCAGGAGCTAGGGGTGGAGGGGGGGCAGCATTTGTATTGAGCACCGCGCCCAATGCCCAGTGAAATAAAAGCTGTCCTGGCTTCATCCCTGAGGCTCTGATGGCCTGATTTACTCGTCTCTGTCCTTATAGTTACAGCTTTTGTTTCTTCTTTCTTTGAGAAGCTGGGGTGGTACTCCGGGCCTCCTGCAGGCTGGGCCGGCGCTCACCACTGAGCTTTCTTGCCAGCTATACACATCCAGCCTTTGCATCCTGGCGCCCCGGCCTCCAGAGTTCATGTGCTCCCCAACCCCGAGGATGGCGGGAAAAGCCAGACTTGTCTTCCTGTGGACCAAGGGGCGGGGTGCCCTGAGCTTGGAGAGGTGACCTTGGGACAGGTCCTAGGTTGACGCTGTGTGGGAGGAACAAAAGTGAGGGTTACTATGAATGACGCTTGGGCAGACGGGGAGGGAAGAGTCTACTCTAGGGGTGGTGGGGGTAGGTTGGGCCTGAGGACAACTGGATCAGGAAAGGATGACTCGAGGGTCCTGAGATAATGGCATTTGGGGGCGACTGGGACATAACTTGGGATGTGGGGAGAGATCTGGGGTGTCTGATACCTGAATGGTGGAAGGAAAGCGTTTTTCCAGACAGTCTCAATCGTAGCCCAGCCTGGCCTCAGACTCCTGGCGTGCCTCCTGCCTCAGCCTCTGGAGTTCAAGGATGACGGACTTTGCCACCTCGCCCAGCTAGAAGGGGACTTCGACTGAAGGTGTGTGCGTGAGGCGGGCGAGATTCCTGGTCCAAGGGGGAATATTAAGGTGGCAGGGGACTAAGTGACCCCCCAGTCGGTGGGGATACCCGTGGGTGACAGGCGCAATGAGGGAGCCCCGGCCCACGAGCAGCACCGAGGCGGACCTGTAGTAGGGCGGGAAGCCCGGGTCGCCGCCCCACCCCGGCCCAGTCTAGGTCAGCCTGCGGGCGGGTCCCAGCCTCCGCGAGTACCTGCGGGAATGGGTGGGGCGGGAGGCAGGGCCGTCGCCAATTAGCTCTCTCGAGCCCAGGACGGCACTAGGAGCCAATCGCTGTACCCAGCGCAACCGGAGTCCCGTCCCCCGATCGCACGCACTGCCACAGCGCCCCCTAACAGTCGTCCTCGCCCGCCCTGGCCGACGGTGACCCAGACCCTCAGTTCACTGCACAAGACCGGTGGGGACCTCGCTACATTTGCGGCATTAAAAACTCAGACATGCCTCGGCCACGCCCCCTTTCTTGCTTTCCTGAGCCCCGCCTAGAGGCGAACAGGGCCCCGCCCCGCCCAGCACCTGCAGGCTGCCCCAGCCCCGCCGTTCAGACTGGCGCCCAGGACCCACGCCCGAGGCTCCCCCTAGTGGTCACTCCCAACGCGCATTCCCAAGGGCCATGCAATTGGGTGGCGAGGAGGGGGAAAACCGGCACATCCGTCCGTTGCTTCCTAGCTGAGTACCTTTTCCTTAAACGTTGGAGCCTCTCCCTTGTCCTTTGTGACAAGGGGGTGATAGGGGTCAAGCGTGGTAGCGTAGGCCTCTCATCCCAGCACTCCTGAGGCTTAGGCAGGAGAATCGCCCGGAATTCAGGACCAGCCTGGGCTACACAGTGAGTTCAAGGCCAGGCTGTACTACATAGCCAGACCCTGCCTCAGACGGACAGACACAGACACACAGATAATCCATCGCAGGGTGGTTGTAATAAGTAGATGACATCTGTAAAGTCCCCTGTGCTGTAGCTGCTCCCCTTCCTGCCCTCAATGGAAGCTGTGACCAGAAACAAGACTGAAGATCTTCCTTGTTTTTTTGCTGAGAACGGGGGAGGCTCTGGCCCTGGGATGGGGACACACACCTTAATCTCAAAATAAAATTTAAAAGAAGCTGTGTCTCAACTTTTTAAAAAAGCAAATACAATATACGGGTCAATAAATAGAAAAAAAAGTTACAAAATGATGCCATCTTCCTTATTACACAAGGAGAATGGCGGGATGGGGTGGGGCACTCTCTTCCTCTTCCTCCCAGGCCATAGCAGGGCAGGAGGAGGACAAAGAGCCATGGCTGGGACCTAAATGAACACAGAAAGGGAGGCTGACTGGAGAGAAATAAGAAACAGTAAGATGAAGAGGTGAAGCCAGGGACAGAGGAGACGGAGACAGCTGCAGGCGGAGGACCTGGAGCCCCTCCGTCTCCTTTCCACATGGGGTCCCCCTGGCTTTCTCATGCCCAGATCCTGACGCCACACTGGGTGGGCAGCACGGGCACTGCCTGGTTCCTGAGTTGTCTGTCCAGTGCCCAGTGTCAGGGGGCAGTGACGACCCCAATCCCAGCCTCCCTGGGTAGCCTGGTGCCCAGGGTCCCGGCCGGACAAAGGGCTGAAGGTGAGGTATGTGGTTGAGGCCGGAGACCTCAGAGACCCTTCAAGTGGGGCTGGGGCAGCCTGGGAGGAGGTTCAGGGCAGAGAAATGGGGGCCCCTGAGCAGTGGGGGCACAGAAGGGAGTCCAGCTGCCCTTGCAGAAAGTGCCCTGGCCATGTGAGTGGGAGCCAGGAGCCCGTGCTGTTATCACCCCAGGACCAGGTTCCGGACAGGCCCACTTCCAGGGCCCGGTGAGGGGTGGTGGTGGTGCTTGCCTATTGCTCCTGGGGTGCCCAAGACCAGGATGGGGGAGTCATTTGAGCTGTGCAAGTACAACCCCGTTCAGGCATCTGGGTGGTGGTATGGCTTCTGCTCCTGTGTCCTGCACACTCGTTTGCACACTCCCAGGCACACATCTCCCATCCCCTTCCCTGACTTAATACCGACTCCACTCTGCAGAGCAGCGCGGGCGATGGGGAGGATCTCCCCTTCCTGGGGACCCGTGCGCTGTCTTGGGCCACGCTGGCATCTCAGCCAAAACGCTCCCGCACCAGCAGCATGAGCTTCTTCTTGCCCTTGTAGGTCTGTTTGATGTTCTCCAAGAACTGGGCAAATTGCAGGTGCCCGTCTGGCGCCAGCAGGAAGGTCTCACGGGCCTTGCCCAGGAACTCGATGAAGTCGCTGTAGTGTCGCGGGCTGATGTGCGTGAGGCGAGAGTGGCTGGTGGTGATGTAGGCGGCAACGGCAGCATCCAGGAGCTGGCACAGCGGTGCCCGGTCAGTGCCCAGTGGCTTGGCGGCCCGGCGGGACCCCAGAGGGCCGAGGCCTGGAGCTGAGAGTGTCCATCGGCGCAGGATGTCGGACAGCATTGGGGCGCAGTGGATGCTGCGGATGATGAGGGGGACGAGGGCCGAGAGCTCGTGGCGGCCCAGCGAGTGGCTGAGGGAGCAGGCCCACAGCACATCGCTAACGGCCGGGTGGCTGTCCTGGTTAAAGGCGATGCTGAGCTGTGCCAGGGCCAGCGTGGCCAGCTTGTAGGCTCGCAGAGGCAGCCCACGGTGCTCCATGTAACGGGCCACCGTGAAGAGGTGTGCGTGGCCTAAGCCGCCAGCTGCCGCATCCAGCACGATCTGGTAGGCGGCCTCAAAGGCCGCATGGTTCTTCTCACACAGGGTCAGGGCGGGCAGGGCGCAGTTCTGAGGGTCTTTCATGGCGCACTGCAAGGCCAGAGTGCAGGCGCAGGTCCAGAGCTCCTCCCGCTGTGGCGTGTCCAGCTGCAGCCGCAGCAGCGTGGTATGTGTGGTGCCCGTCACTGCCACGATAGTGGACGCCTCCACTGGCGTAAACAGGGAGTACCAGTTCTGCATGAGGTTCATCAGCGCCTGGGGACCTGGGGGGTCACGGGGGAGGGACTCAGGGAAGCAGGTGGGGTTCCCCACACCCCACAACAGCCAGGGCTCCGGAAGTACTCCTGCCTCTGAAACTTCTTTGGGAGGTTCTGGGGATGAACTCAGGGCCTTCAAAATGAGCTTTCTGAGAGAGTGTCTTGCTAAGTTGACCAGGTTGGGCTTGAACTTGGGATCCTCCTGCCTCAGCCTCCCAGATGCAACACCATATCTGGCTAAGAAACTTTTCTCTCTCTTTTTTTTTTACCTTTTCAAAGAAGCAGGGTGCAGTGGGACTGGGTGAAGGGCATGTATGTGGAGCCCCTGCTATAGCCCAGCTGGCCCTTGTTGGTCTCCATCTCCCCTGCCTGACACCCGCTCCCTGCCTGGCCCTGAGTGCAGGCTTTGGTCAGGCTTTTGGTCTGGGCGGCACCTCCAGAACCGTGCAGGGCGACTGACTGTGTGTCCCCTTGGGTCTCTCACCGATCTCTGTGGCACAGCTGACCAGCCAGCGCACCATCTCCCTCCGGCGCCAAGTCATGGTGCTCAGGGTCATCCGCATGACCTGCAGGGCAAGAAGCCAGAGAAGGCGTCTCAAGAGCATAGGGTAGAAGAAAGAGCAGATCCAACACAATGGGGCACCTGGCCTCACCGCTCTGGCCTCTGTCTCCTAGGTCTGGGCAGCCTAGTGCACAGCTATGACCCCAGCTAGGGGGGAGGGTGAGGCAGGAGGATCACAAGCTGGCCTGGGTAATTTAGTGAGACTTTGTCTCAACATTTAAAAAGATTTTCAAAAAAAGGGTCTGGGATTCCCTCAGATCCATCCCTGTACGACAGAAAGGAAAAGTATCCATGCTGGGGTGTAGTTCAGTAGTAGAATGCTTGCCTAGCACACATGAGGCTTGGAGTTCTATGCCAGCCTCACAGAAATAAAAATAGAAGTATTCGCCTTATAGGGGTGTCACAAGGATTAAACAGCATCATATAGGTAAAGCATTACTTTTCCTTTCTTTTTTGTGATGCTGGAGATCAAAGCCATTAGGTGCTTTGGCAAGGAGCAATCTCTTGCCCAAGGCTTTGCCCCTCGGGTGGCATTCCTGCCTTTACCCTGCCTCCCTTCAAGCCACACCCCCAAGCGAGTGCTTTATTGGCTGGCTCTGTCCCACTCATTTTAAGCCCATCCACTAACAGCCCTGAACCAATTAAACACAATACCTGTCCCAGCCCTGAACGAATAGCACACAGTCCCAGCCCCAGCCTCTTCCCCACCCCTGTGCAGGGGATGAAACCCAGAGCGCCAAGCTCCCTAGGCAAGAGCCATATCAATAAGCCGCATCTCCAGTCCAGTTTATTTTTGAGACAGTGTCTTGGTAAATTGCCTAGGCTGGCCTAGAGCTTTCAATCCAGCCTCAGACTCTAGAGTGGGTAGGATTACAGGGGTGCACCAGCTGGCTTGTCCCAGTTTTTGTTTTTTGCACGCTGGGGATTTAACTCAAGGCTTGACAGATGCTAAGTGGACTAGGACCTTTACTCACAGAGCATAAACTCCCACTCAAACCCAAACAAAGGCGGAACTCCCAAGGCCCCGGCCCAGAGGCGGGGCTCCAAACCAACCCCACCCAGAGGCGGGCTCACCTGCAGGCCCAGCTCCAGCGCGATGCCCAGCAGCGTGGTATCTGGGGGCGCACTGGCCGGGGTGGCCGTCTTACAGGCGTCCTGCGCCAGTTTGAAGAGCAGAGCTGGGGAGTGAATGTTCTGCTGGATGGAAGCCAGGACTGCGTGCAGCCACTTGGGGTCTCCTGTGGTGGAGGGCACAGTTGGGTCCCCATTCCCTTGCCCAGGAGCACAGGGACCAGGCCATGCCTGCACCTCGACAGGCCCAGCCCACCTGCTGTGTCTGATCTGTCCCTGCCTCTGTTCCAGCAGAAGGAAGCCACCCAGGGCCCTAGTTGTCAAGGCAACCGTTCTGGACCTGGAACGACAAGGTTCAAACCCTGTCCCGCCACTCACTGTACCTCTCTGCTGTACCCATAAAACCGGGCAAGACTGAGAGAGCTCACACAGGATAAGTCGAAACTTGGATGTAAAGCGCTATGCAAAAATTGGCTTCTTTTCTTTTTCTCTGTCTGGGGGTCAAACTCAAGGCCTTTCACGTTACCCATGTGATCTATGCCAGGCATGGTATAAACATGTAATCCCAGCATGCTGGGAAGCTGAGGCAGGAGAATTGACAAGTTCAAACCCAGCTTGGGCAATTTATCGATTCAATGAGACTCAACCTCAAAATGAAAAATAAAAATTTCAGGGGATGGAGCTCAGTGTGAAAGCTCTGGGTTCAATCCCAAGTGCAACAGGAAAACAAAAACAGAGCCGGGCATGGCGGAGCACACCTGTAATCCCAGCACTCAGGAGGCTGAGACAGGAGATCCCTGTGAGTTCGAGACCAGCCTGAGCTACATAGTAAGTTCCAGATCAGTCTCAACTACATAGTGACACCCTGTCTCAAAAAACAAAACAAAACAAAAAACTCAAAACCATGTGCCGTGCCCCAGAGCCACAATCCCAGCCTAAATGGTGGCTTTTGTTGTTGTTATTAACAGTGGTCCAGTTCCTATATTTCTCCTTCTCTGGCCACAGCAGCGACCTCTTGTTAATCAAGCGTATCATACGTGATTGGCCCCAGGACCCTTGCACTGACAGCTCCCTCTGGCTGGAAAGCTCTTCCAGATGGTACAGACTAAGCTGTGTCTCCTTTCCCCAAATCCTGTGCTGAAAATCTCCAATGTGAGTTGTCTGATAGGCCAGTGGAGAGAATTAGGTCTAGATGAGGTCCTGCGTGTGGGACCCTTAGGAGGGGACTAGAACCCTAGGAGAAAACAAATTTCCTCCGTTCCCCCAGCCTCCCTGTCATGGGGACACAATGAAAAGGTGATGTCCTCACCAGGAGCCAACTCAGCTGGCAACTTGACCTTAGATTGAACTCCTAGAGCTATGGAAAAATAAATTTCTGGGCAGGCATGGTGGCATGTGCCTGTCACCCCAGCATTCAGGAGGCTGAGACAGGAGGATCACTGCCAGTTCAAAGCCAGCCTGGGAGACATAGTGAGTTTGAGGCCTGTCTAGACTATATAGTGAGACCCTGTCTCAAAAAACACAAATAGAAATAAATTTCTATTGTTGAAGTTGCGTAGCCTACTACATTTTGGTACAAGCTGAGCAAGACCTCCATTATCTGCATAGGTTTGCCCTTATCGACAGGTCTTTTTATGTATTAATTAATCAACTAACTAAATTTATGACTCAGAGGAGGATAAAAAAAAAAAACAAAACACAACTTGTGGTACTGGGGATTGGACCCAGGACCTGCACACTGAGCTATATCCCCACCTTGTTTAATTTGAGACAGGGCCTCGCTAATCTGCTAAGTCACCTGGGCTGAGCTTGAACTTTCAGTCCTCTTGCCTTAGGCTTTCAGAGTGCTGGGATCACAGGAGCTGGGAGTGCTGCATTGCAGAGTGCCCTCCTTCCTCCCTGTCCATTCCCCATGAAACCATCAATGCCAGACGTTTGCAGTACTTAGCTACTCTCCTGGTTCCGGTTACAGGCCAGCCCCTTCTCCTCCCCCTGCACTTCCTTTATCTCCATCCCTAAAAATAAACACGCTGCAATTGCTGGGTAGTCCTTTTCTCCCCTCAGGAGTAAGGCTCCATCTGGCCTCAGCTTGTGTATCTCTTTGTTCTGTCCTTTTTCTTCACCCCACCCCCCGCCATTCTCCCTCCTCCACGGACCCTTCAGCCTCGCAGGCCACAGCACACAGGGGTGCACTGGTCCTTGCTTGAAGGTCCACCTGCTCGCCTAGCACATGCCCGGTCCTGGGTTCCACCCCAAGCACCGCCAGACAGATAAATGGTCCCTCTCTCTTGATTGCTTGTGTCCGCCTACAGGGGGCAGTCTTGTTGCTGGCCACAACCCCAGCCCATGGGACAGCGCTGGCAAGGGGAGCAGGAGCCGAAGGTAGAGCAAGAGGAGGCAGAAGAGGGGACAGAGACAGGGCGGGTGGTGCTGTCCTCACCCTTGGCAGCCGTCAGCATGGTGGACGCCAGCTCGCACTGCCGCATCTCCAGGTGGCCCAGGATGAACCAGCGGGGGAAGCGGCTGCTCATGATGGAGTCCAGCGGGTTGGGGTGAGGGTCTCCAGCCGGAAACGCTGTCTCCAGGACGGGCAGCCTGGTGAGGGCAGAAACCAGCCACAGTGAGAGACCCTGCCCAGACTCCCCGCTAGGGCCAGCACAGCCCCCCAGTGCGGAGAGGCCTTTCCTGTGCTGGTTTCTAAGACAGAGTGGGGTTAGGAGCCGAGGATTTGGCTCAGTGGTTCCGCCGCCTGCCTCGCAAGTGCAAGGGCCGCAGATTGATCCCCGGTACCAAAACAACAACAAAACAAAAACAAAAAAGCTAAGAGAGCGGGGTTAGGGCAGTTGTCATCACATCGGGCCTGGTGGCACAAGGCCGCTATCCTAGCTGCTCGAGAGGGTGATGCAGGCGCACTGCCAGGTTCGAGGCCAGCCTGGACAACGCAGCAAGACCTTGTCTCGACAAAGAGCAAAAAACACCAGGGCACAACTCAGTGGTAGCACTCGCCTGATACGAGTGAGGCCCTGGGTTCTATCTCGTGTGGTAGGAGCAAAAAGAGAATGAGAACGTTGGAAAAGGGTTTGGAGAAAAAGGGAACCTGATTCACTGTTAGTATGAAAGCAAATTAGTATAGCCGCTGTGGAAGATGGCACAGAGGTGACTCAAAAACTAAAAATAGCTGGGTGTGGTGGGACGGATCTGTGATCTTAGCACTGTGGGAGCCTGAGACAGGAGCATCACAAACTCCAGCCCAGCCTGGGCAATTCATTGAAACCCTGCCTCAAAAGAAATATAACAAAAGGCTGGAGATGTAGATCAGTGCAAAGATCCTGTATGTAAGAAAAAAAAAATTAACCCTAAACATAGAACTGCCATGTGATTTAGCAATGCCACGGCTGGAAGGGAAATCAGTACATCAAAACTACACCCATACTGGGCTGGGGGTTTAGCTCAGTGGTTCTGCTGCCTGCCTTGCAAGCGCAAGGACCCGAGTTCGATCCCTGGTACTATATATATATATACACACATACTCTGGTGTTTATTTTTTTATTTTTATTTTTTCATTTTATTTATTTTTTTGGTACCGGGGATCAAACTTGGGCCCTTTTGCTCGCAAGGCAGTTGACAGAACCACTGAGCTCAATCCTCGGCCCCACTCTGGTGTTTATTGTGGAACCATTCATAAGAGCTTTGATACGGAATCCACAGGAGTATTCATGGATGGATGAAGAAACTAGGGTAGAATGGAGTGCTACTCAGCCACAAACATGAACAGTCTGGCTCCTTGTAGCTATGTGGATGGACTGGGAGGACAGTGTGTTAAAATAAAATAAACCAGGCACAAAACACAGATATTGCTTTTTCTCATTCATATGGAAGCCAAAAAATTTGATCTCAGCTGGGCGTGGTAGCACACGCCTGTAATCCCAGCACTGGAGGAGGCTGAGGCAGGAGGACTGCAAATTCAGACAAGCCTGAGCAACTCAGTAAGATCCTGTCTCAAAAAGAAAAAAGTGGATCTTGCAAAAGAGGAAAGGGCGGTTACCAGAGGCTTGGCAGGGCAGGGGAACAGGGGCAGAAGTTGTGGTTGGTGGCTGGCAAAGAGTGGAGGGCTTGCTTGTGTCCTGACACAGCCCCCACATTAGGCCCAACGAACCCTTCCCCTCACAGCTCCACCCTACTCTCCTCTCTTCAGTGCACCACAAATATACCAGGCATCGCGCTGCTGCAGGGCCCCAGGATTGCCCTTCCTGCAGCCCAGATACTTTTCCCCAGGTCTTTCTCAAATATTTTCAGTGCACAGCCTTGAAGTCCCTACCATGTGGAAAACTACCACTTCCGGCTTCAGATGCTTCTCCCTTCCGAAGCTCTCCTTTCCCATGCCACTGAGTGCCCTCTTACTGGACACAGCTTCCCTGTTCATTTATTCACTGTCTGGAGCTCCCTAGAATGTCAGCTCCATCTGGGCATTTACAAAAGCCAGAGCAATGCCTGGTGCATCATGGGTGAACAAATGTTTGTTGAATGACCCAACAACCCCTGTGTAATATTAACCAGCTCACAGTGTAGTCAGGCACTGCTTAGGATCCTGTAGGAAAAGGGTTCCAGGACCCCCAGATTCCAAACTCTGTCAATGGTTAAGCACCTTATATAAACGGTATGGTGCCAGGTGCGCACGCCTGTCATCCCGGTACTTGAGAGGCAGAGGCAGGAGGGTTGCCACAAGTTCAAGACTAGACTGGGACACATAGTGAGTTCAAGGCCAGCCTGAACTATACAGAGACCCTTTCTCAAGAAAACAAGGGCTGCAGATTTAGCTCAGTGGTTCCACCGCCGGCCTCACAAGCACAAGGTCCTGAGTTTGATCCCTGGTACCAAAAAAAAAAAAAAAAAAAAAAAAAAGAGAGA